TTTTTTGGTACAGGGTCTCACTATGCAGCTCAGACTTATAATGATCCTCCTGTTTTCAGCCTCCCAGCACTGGGATTACAGGCATGTGCCAACCAGGCCCAGACTCGGTCACCAGTTCACTGCGCTCCTAGGTGGTCCCGGCGCAGCATGCAGGACCAGGGATCAAACCCTGGTCCCTGTGCTGGCCTGAGCAGGCACCTAGTCCTCTAAGCTATCTCGCCAGCCCTAAACTTATTTTATTTTATGTTTCATTTGTGAACCTGGCATGATTTCTGAGGCTTGAGATTCTGGTATGGGTCGGAGTTGCCACCACATACTTGAGTGTCCAGCTCTCACCATGGCACCCGCCTGCCGCCCGCCCTGTAGTAAACCCTCGCCGCCCTTGGCTTGGTGATAGCCAGTCCTTTTACCCTTGCTCTGTGATTCTGACGTGTAAAACTCCATTTGAAAGCCAACATTTGGCAAATCTAGGTATGAAATAAAACCCAATGATAAGAAAACCAGGGCTGATTTCCGGATCTCCCCTTGTTCTCCATATCCACTGTAGGTGCCTTTCCTCAGCAGAAAAAGATGTCATTGAAGAGACTGTCTGCGTGACTGTGCTTAAGCTTTGGCAAGCAGTGTGCCGTGAGAACGGTAAGTTCACGTTGTGACTGCTAAGCCCCAGTTGTGAACTAAGGGTGCTTGAGCTGCGTGGTGGGTGCACTTGGTCCCCACCATCTTTCTCTTCTCTTCTTCTCCTTCTCCTTCTCTTTCTCCTTCTTCTTCCTCTCTCTTTCTCCTCTCTCCATCTTTCTCACCCTGCTCTTCTTTCTGTCTCCCTCATCTTTTTCTTCTCTCCCTCTCTTATTCTCTTCTCTCTGCCCCTCTCTCTTCTCTCCCACCTTCTCTTCTCTCTCCTTCTCTTTTCTCTTCCTCTCTCTTCTCCTCACTTCTCTTTCTTCTCTCTTTCCTTTGCTCTCCCTGTCTCTCTTCTCTCCTCTCCTCTCTCTTTCTCTCTCCTCTCTCCCTCTCTGTCTCCCTTTCCACTCTCCTTTCTCTCTTCTCTCTCCTCTATCTCTGTCCTCCCTCCAAAAATCACATGGATCCAAACAAGGTCTACAGTGCAGTCATTTCTCTGCCTGGGCCTTAGGTGACTGGAGAGCTTGCAGAGATTGTAGACAGGTGGCTTCAGGGTGACAAGTGGTCCTTCACGGTGTCTGCTCATGCGCTATTAATGAGGGGGGGTTTGCCCACTTAGCCCCTGCAGCCATTTTTGGAGATTACAGGCTCATTTTTTATCTGCCTACAAATCTTTGTGCTGATCACAGTACCCATTGGAGTTGTAGGATTGTCAGCCAGCCAGTATTTTCAGACCCTGATTGTCGTCTGATATTAATGCAGCAGAATGCTGCTGGGAGTTTTATTTTCCATGTCAACTCTTAAATTTTTTCATGGTAGCATCTTCTACCATGATCTTAAGAGTTCATTAAGCTCTTGAATAATCTCTCTTGATCATCTTGGTGACTTCAGTGTAAATAAAGATTTATATGTTTCTCTCATTTTTAAAGTGTGTTTCACAGAAAACAGACAACCTTAAAAATACAGATAATGATAGGTGTGTGTCCTTTCCATGGTGCTAACTGCAGGCCAGTGGCAGAGCCTGCAAGAGCAGTTTATAAACTAGAAAATGCTAAGTAGAACACAGTTGTACTTGGGAGAAGCAAAAATTCAAGAAAATAAACTCTAGCAAACTAGACAAGCAGCAGGCGTATTTCCTGAAGGGCACCTGCACAGAAGAATCGACGGGGCACCTCGCTCTTCTCAGTTGGACCCATGTGGCTCAGGCTGTGCGCACAAGGCTCCCTGCAGAAGGGAGGAGGACAGGACTTGACACTGGCCTCTTCGCTCCTTGTGAACCTGCCAGTCACCCCCTGGCTTTGCTCCTGTGCAGTTTGGGTTACATATTTTGAAACATGTGCAAAACATGGTCAGATGTTACCTAGGATATACATCTGTATCTCAGGCCCATGAGATTGTAATAGATCTAGTTCAGTGAATACAAAGCAGCTTTTAAAGAGGACAATGGGGCTGCTGGGGAGATAGCTTAACAGTCTTAAGCGCCTGCCTGGCCAGCACAAGGACCTGGGTTTAATCCCTGATCCTGCATGCCACGTTGGCCTGGGAACTCCAGGTGCACTGTGCCAGGCACACGCCTATAATGCCAGGGATGGCAAGGCTGAGATAGGAGGATCATTATGAGCCTGAGCTGTGTAGTTAGACCCTGTATCCAATAAAATAAAGTTGATGATGTATTGATGAATGGAAGAGAGAAGCCAATTACAGAGTAGGATGCATAGTCTTTTTAATGTTATTCTTTTAGTGGGGTGAATAAGACAACTCCCTGGGGAATGGCCCTCCCTACAGGGACACCAGAGGAGGACTTCCACTTTCATCTTGCTGCCATACAGCAGGCTACCTTGGCGGGAGACTTATGCCTTAATTCTTCGGGGCTGGAAGAGCTGAGGTCTGTTTCCTCTGCTTGACCACCCTGCGGTGTGTAGATGAGGAGCAAGCCCAGACTAATGAGGCCCGGGTGACGGGTCCCTTCCGCCAAGATCTGGCTGGAGCCGCCTGATTTCACAGCTCGGTCTTGGCTCAGTGTCATCCTCCCTCCTGTGTCCCTGCCTGCTCTCAAGCACCCATTCAGACGCAGGTGAAAAAGGGTAAATCCTGTGCTGCCATCCTGGAAATGGCTCATAGTTTAGGAAGGAGGACACGGCTTATTAGCGAATGTTCTCAGTGACACTCTAGTTTCCTAGAAAAAACCTTGGATGATCACACTGGCCGTGATATGAGGACTGGTTTTCTAGCGATGCAATACAATTAAGTTTTGCTCCCGTCTCCAGACAATAATCATAACATTATAGTCAGGCTGCACGTTCCAGTCCCGGCCTAGCGCAGTCACGTACTGACTTTTGAGTCCTCCTGCCAAGTCTAGTGGGTGGGCTATCATTCCCATTTTACTATGAGCAAACCGAGGGGCCCAGGAGCAGGGGTAATGACCTGGCAAAGCCACACCCCACTCAGTCAGACCCAGCAGTCTGGCTCCAGGACCCTGCTTGTACATGCTTGCTTCTCAAGCAAATGGAGAAGAGTTGGTTTCTCATTAGGATAGTTGGAGACAGAAGTGGCTGAATTATTGTGATAAGCTGCACAAGGCAGGTGACAACTGTTTTGCAGAGGAAAACCAGCGTCTGCTTGTTCTACACCCTGACATGGCCAGGCTACTGCCCTCCCTCTTGGCCTGTAAAGCCATGGCCATCCGGCAGCAGAGCCTCACCCTACTGCTGCAGCTCACCCAGACCGGGCATGGACGGAGCCTGATCTTCAGCCACCTTGACATGACCCGGTAAGCATCTGCGGGAAGGGCATTTCTCGCAGTGTCTTGGGTCATCAATTAGTAGGCAGTTTCTGACTGGCCGGTCTCCCTTGTCCTGTTTCTGATGTATGGGCTACTATCAGACTTTATGAAGGATCAAGAACAGACGGAATCTTGCAAGAGGTGAACCTCCAGGTGCCATAGGTGGCTTCATTTCTGCACAGCTGGCATGTGTTCAGCTTGCAGATGCTGCAGACAGGGGCTGGGCAGCATTTCTATACCCAGATGTGGAACCCAGCCTTGACATGGATCACTCGCTTCCATGCTTTCAACCTTAGGCCTGACTGCATCCTATTTCTGCTCTTTTGTTTCCTCTTCTATTCCTGCTTAAAGTAATGCTGTCTGATTTTGCATCTCTTGAAACCCTTTCTGCAACAAGGTAGAGTGTAAGTTAATAAATAAATGCTATTGTGTGGAGACCTTTCCAAGGCTGACACGTTCAAGGAATAAGATGCTTCTTTCTCTGAGGGAAACTGCTAAGAAATTATCCAGATCATGATGACTCTACCCATTCCTTTTCAGTTTTTGTATACTTCCTTTTTTTTAGTTTACTGATTTATTTTATTAATTTCAACTTTATTTCTCTTCCCATTTCAGATTGGCCCATCTCCCTCGTCATGTCTCTCAAAACTTGAGCATAATGAACTTGCCATTTTTAAGATCAGAAAAGTTGCTGGTAGTTCAACTTAGCAGGATAGTAGTAATCATTGCAGCCTGCTTTATAAATATTTCATATGCATCCTGCAAGCAGTTTTCCTCACTGAACTTTGTTTTATCTCCCCTCGTCTTGTGGAGTAGGCAAGGCCACTGTTGTCGTTCCACTTCGTGGATGAGACAGCAGAAGCCACAGCAGATAAGGAGGAAGCCTCACCCAGCTGTGCCCCGGGTGTGTGTTCCCTAAGAACGGGAGAAGGAGCCACACCTGCAGGCCTGTAGGATCTTTCTTAGGTTAAGTTGAGCCCTCCTACTTGGTAATCATGGTGTTGGCTAGAGGACAATCGCTGTGACCACATACCTGAGAAAATCTCCTCAGATAAAGGCTGGTTTTGGCTCATGGCCTCCGAGCATATAGTGCGTGGTGGGCTGGCTCCACTGAGGTGGGCCTGTGGCAAGGCGGAAACATGGCAGTGGGCTGTGGCAGGGGAGAGCTGCGACTCCTGCAGAGAGGAACAAGAGAGGGGGAGAGAGCCAGAGAGGGACAAGGACTTGTGACAGGGTACGCTCTTCAAGGCACAGCCCACTGACTCCTTCCTCGAACTGGGCCTTATCCCATAATACCTTACTCAGCTATGAACTCGCCAGTCAATTAACTAACTGATGAGAGGGGTGGCACCCTCACAGTTTTGCCACCTCTCTGTCTCACCTCTGAACATTGCAGCATTGGGGATCAAGCCCCCAAAACATGAGCCTTTGGGACTACTTGATGTTTATGCCATAACAAGTGAGGAAATTCAGTGTGTGCTAAAACAGAGTGGTCACTGGCCTCCCTGTGGCCAACTTTGTCTCTCCACGATGCCTGACCCCGGTGCCAGCATCTCCCCACAGAAGCCTTGGCAACCTGCCGAACCTCAGGTTATTATTGGAGGAGTTAAATCCCAGAAAAGCGCATCATTTTCCTAATGACTCTAGTCATTTCCTCGGTTCCTTCATCAGGTAGGGCTTTCTAATTGGACTTTTGTCTCTCTGAGTAAATGTAGCTGTAGTTATCATAAGTGTTTCCCCCCAAGCTAGCTTTGGAGTGCTTGAGCTTCAGTTTGAAGTTTTGCAGGGTCTTGAAGAATGGTGTTTATGATCACAACCTGTAGCCCTGCCTACTCTCTCTGGACAGTCAGAGAAGTCTCGGCTTATTCCTTTTATGCCCACTCGTCTTGCTGATGTCCACCTCCAATTAAACTGGAAGCAGAAGTAATGGATTCTGTGTAATGAAATGAGGTGGTTTGAAGCAGAACAGGGCAGCATCCAGTCCATACCCTTTCTATTCAGTTGATTGACACAGCGTAGATATAGGTTGTGATCACTCTCCTCGTGGGGATTTGTGTCTGTACATGGCATATTTTGCTTCCTCCTTTTTCCATATTCCCTTTCCTCCCTTCAACCTTTCTTGTCCTCCTTATTTACAAAGCTTTGTTTGCATTCTTGTCTTTTCTTTTGCCATTCTTTTCTTTTCCCCTCCCCCTCCCTAGTTCCCTTTCCCTTTGAATAATTTCTTCCTATTACCCAATATTTATTATACCTTCTGATTCTTATTTATACTTTCAGTTTCTCACACCAGGGAGAGTGCAATATTTGCACATGTGTCCTATTTATTTCACTTAAGAATATGGTCTCGTAGTGAGACCTATAGACCCTGTACTACATACATTTTTTAAAAAGATTGAAAAAAAGAATATGGTCTCAAAGTCCATCCATTTTGCTATACATGTGTCTAGTTCATCCTTTATGGTCGAATAGTATTCCATTGTGTAAAGAGAAAATAGGTAGAACCCTTGGAGAGATAAGTGTAGGCAAAGACAAAAACCCTGACTACATGGGAAGTACTACAGAAAATCAGAAATGTGATCGCATTTTACTAAAAAGCCCCTAATCCGACAGAGGCATGATGACCACATTCCTCCCAAAATGTTCCCCTCATACGAGAGGTTGAAGGGATGATTTGTGCTCACAAGAACAAGCCAAGGACAAGCATCACTTTTTAGAAAGCACTTGGTTTTTAGATTGTGGACATCCCAAATTTAAGACTTTTGCATGTCTCTTGCTATTTATATGACCTAGTACTGCTCTGTAGTGCTGATGGGCTCAGTGTCTCATGGTTTAAGAGGGATGGTGTATTGATGTCATTAAAATTTGAATTGTTGACCCAATGGACCTTAAGCAGGATAGAGCCTGGCTTGATTTTCTCGCACAACAAGAAAAAACTAAACATAATAGGTCATGGATCAAAGATGTCAAGGTCAAGGTCTTGGTCCTTCTCCTCCCCTTTCTTTCCTGTGGTTGCACGCTCCCCCTTGCTGCAGCACCAGGCTGCATATGTCTCTTGAAGATAGCTCAGCACTAGTGGGTCCATCCTTTCTTCATTAAGAAAAGCAGCTCAATATGTCTCTTTGAAAAGAATTGTGTCACCTACCATCTTTTGTGGGGAGAATAGTCCCAACTTCTATAGCGGAGTTGGGCAGAATAGAAAGGAGTAGCGATGTCTCTGTGTTTAGCCAGAACACAGTCTGGCACAGCACGAAAAACTTATAGCATCATGCTTGCCACTGGGACTCCACAGCATTTTATCATCCTTTTCTTTTTTCAGGGTCCTAGCCTCAGGCAGGAATATATTTATTGGTGACCTGAAGCCATTTTCTGACTTGTAGTCCATACACAGGGACAGGTGCTTGTCATACTCCACACACAGGGATGGCCTAAGATCTACCTCTGAGCAAGATAGAAAAGGACACACCATCCATCCTCTTTAGGACAGTCTTCAGTAGTGTGCATAGGATGAGTATTTTGTCGCATTCTGAAGAGCCTGCTTGCTTCTGTCCACTAGGACAAAGCTGAGATGATCTCGGACCATGGGCTCATTCTCTGTGCTGTTCAGGTCCCCTAGCATTCACTTCAAGACCAAGAAAATAGACTGTAGAACAAATTATTTCTGATGTTAAGGACACAGAAGTACATTCCTGAGACAGTCAGGGATTTGCAGAAGCTTGGGATTTCGTGAGCTGTAGAGACCTTTTAGCCAGCTTGCCCCACGCAGACGGGCCCTCTGCATACCCTAGCACAACCTGTGCCTCTCTAGAGAGGGTCCAGGGTTGTCCTTATGTTGGACTTTGTTTGCTTAGGGATGCACACTAAACCAACCCACAGGCTGAGGGGTCTTCCTCCAGCTAGGGAGGATGTGGAACTACACCCACGGTGGCCCGTCTACATCTGGAGCAGTACCAATTAATAGAAGTCATCTCCATACACTAAACACAGCCTGCCCGCCCCACAACATTCTGGCCAAAGAGTTGAAGACCTATTGGATGCAACACATCCTTCCATTTCCCAGGGTTTTAGGGTCCTATACACGAGCATTTTCCAGGTTAAACATCCTGGTTATTTTGACCATTCTTCAGGTGATTTATATTCTAGGCCTCTCCAGTGCTGTAGAAGTGGCCGTCCAATGCCACATTCTCAAGTGACCAGTCCACTGTGCTCTTTTGGGTCTCTCACTTCACTGCCCTGTGGCATTTGGTTCTCCTGACCACCACCCTTCTTGGAACTGTAGCTGCGACGCCTATGTGGAGTGTCGGTCCTCCTCCTCTATCCTGGCCTTTTCCTCCCGATTCCTTTACCAGCCCTCTGATTTCTGCTGCCTGTGTCCCAATCAGAAATTCTGGGATCTCACCCTTAGCCCTCTTCTCATCTGTGGGTTTAACAGACACGAGTCTGGGTCCCTCTCTTGGGTGACGGACATCTCTATCTCAACATCCGCAAATAGCATAAACTAAGAAATGTAGTGGTTCTTCCAGTCAGGTCTCTAACTGAATTTCCTGTCCTTGCAGAGGAAGATTGCTTATGCCAGATCCTTGAGGTGACCTTGATCACCCCTTAGCACCCCCACGGGATAGGAAGTTGTCAGTCCTTGTTCCTTAGCAGTGCCTGGATCATTTCCTTCAGTTCTCCTCCTCCATCTCTAGTTAATTCTTCTTAGTTTTTGAGAGCCTTGGTATAGTACCTCTTATTATGCCACTGCAATTCGTCCCTTAACCTTTGTTGTCTGGACAATGACAGTACTCCCATGGTTGGATTCCTCCTGTCCTGCACACAATAATCTATTCTCCACTGGGGCAAAGATTTTTCTAAAATGCACATCTACCCTGTTATTTCTCTACTTAAAATGCTGAAATGACTCAATTGTCCTGACGGTATTTCTCCAGTTCGTGCAACACAGTATAGTCACCCAAGAATGTGGTTAAAATGCAGCCTCCTACCTAGTC